TAGACAGATGTGAACAGCTATAGATAGATATATAGACATATCTTATAGCTATATCTAGCTAAAAGACCTTTCAGATCAACTTACTTTTTATGGTATACTTGATGAGTAGAAGATCCGCTATATTGACAATCAGGAAGATGACATAGAAGCACAAGAGGACTGTAATACACAAGAGAAATAAATCATAATCATATACATATATATATAATAATATATGGATATATCGATCACTTACTCGAACACTCGGCCCTACTCACTTTTTCCTCGCTGACTATCAAGAAGTGCAGCAGATCGATGGCCAGGACGAGGAAGAGCAGGTTCTGGACGGTGCTGTGGCCGTCGATCTTGAAGGGCCTCAGGAAACAGATCATGCCGCCGCAGACGAGCAGCACGGCCAGGCTGTTGCCAATGACGCAGGTGAAGAGGGCGCCGCGCTTCCGGATGGGCATCAGATTGGCGACGAAATCGGGCGAGGAATTGCAAAAGGCCAGCAGAGTGACGCCGGCGAAGTACTCGTTGAGGCGCAGATTCAGGGCCAAGATCTTCACAGTGGGCGTTAGGCTAGTGGGTGGGTGAGCATAGATCACTGGCTACAGATAGACATACCCCCTCCCCTTCCGGCACTTACAAGTGATCGACGACAATCGACATGAGCAACAAATATGCCAACGAGGCAAGCAGCAGCAGGAAGAACGCAAAGGACTCCATCGCCCTGTCGTCGATGCGCAGATAGCAGTACATCAGCTCGAAGTAGTTGAAAAAGTTTATGATCTCATGGCACTCCTCCAGCTCCCTGGACATCGAGCAGCGATAGCTGTACGAGGCGTGCAACAAACTGTGGCAGCTAATCTGTGTGGCAGGCAAGACGGATTGACTGATTGACATTGATTGATGGATTGATTGGTATGGATACACATACATTTGAGCTAAAGTACTTGAAATCGTCACTCAGCATTGCCATCTTGACTCAGAGTTATGCTACGGCCTGGGCATCCTACGTATATTCCAAATAATTAGTGTTAAGAGAGATCGAATAAAGGGTTGGATTATAGTCTGAAGTATTTAGCTAAGGGATTGAGATTGAG